TCTAAATTTTATAAATGTTATCTGGACTATCATAGTATTTTAAAGGCTATTTGTTCCTAGTTGTATGTAAATTGAGAGTTCTTTGGTATATAATATAAATACAAAATAAAATAATAAACAATTTAAAAAGGTGCATAATGAATATGCTATAGTAAAATATAAAATATATATTTTATATTTTATTAAAATATAGCAATTTGAAGTCTAGCCAAGGCATGGTGGCTCAGGTGGCTGAATCCCACCCGGTTCACTGTGTAGTCTGAATCCTTGACCGGCAGCTTGAAAAACACACCAGGGATGTGTGTGCATGAGCCCCAGATCCTGAGAGTAGAATGGAAGAGAAGGGACTGCAGCTTGGCTATCGCCCCTGGGTGGTGCTTTCCCACTTTTCATCTGTCTCTCTGTCTCACGCATGTGTCCTATAGCAAAACGCACACACACAGCAATTCAAATAAATATTTCCATGTAATACATAGAGGTCAATAGGTATTTTCAACAAATTTCACTGACAATTACGCCATGACTCTTCCTTATACAACATGCATAAGAGGGACAAGAACTACTGCTTTGTTCTTATAACCCAAGGCACAGGCCTGCTCACTCCAGTAAATATTCACTACTCAGTTACCTTGAAGATGAACTTCTGAGACTAGAAAATGTTCTCATTTTTTAAAAAAATTATTTTATTTTTTAGTTTTTTGCTGTAGGGCATATATACTCACTGGAGAGAAACAGAGAGAGCAGGAGATTGAGAAATCATTCCTTAGGGGGTATGGCTACACAGAAATCCCTTCTCTGGTATCCTCTCGGGATTTTCAACATGCACATACATTTGCCTGGTGTGATGTTTCAAGCTACTGAGTCTGGGACTTGGCCTAGTCATCTGTGTAGGATTCAGCCACCTTAACCTCCACACCACCTGCTGGTTCGTGCTGTTCTCATTTTAACTAAAGTAATACTCCCATACTCAGTAAGGGACAGACAACAATCTCTTTGAGAAAAAAAATCTTTTCATCCTAAAATATTTACTGGAAGAGAGAAGAACTTCTCTCAAGCTGGTAATGAAAATGCCAGAAAGGTTAATGAGTTTACATTCTTTCCCAGGACACAACATCTGAAGCTCAACTTCTTATTCATATACATCAAAATAGATGGTTCTTCTTGCCTTTTTGGCCCAGGGGGAAAAAAAAAAATCAGAGTTCTATCTTTAAATTTACCTGACCCTCCTATTTATGTGTAATTTAGATATCCCAGGGCTCTATTTTACATTCGTAGGCATCACAGTTTTTGAGAGACTTACATGAACCCTGTGGTTAGTACTGCAAGAAATATACAGGCATGGGGCTGGCCCTGTGTCCTAGGGGTTAAGGAAGTTGGATCCCACATGGCCAACTCTGTGGTTTAAATCCTGTACCTGGAGGCTTGAAAAACACGGTGGATGTGTGCGTGTATACATGGCAAAATCCTGGATGGAGAAATGAAGAGAGGGGATTGTGGTATGATCATACCCCATGGGGGATGTGTTTTCTTCCCCCTCTCCTTCTCTCTGTTTCTTTCTGGAAAGTGCATGTACCCTCTGACAAATTAAAAAAAATACACACACACACACACACACACACGGCATGAACTAGGTGGCAACTTAATATTAAAGGACACACATATAGTTCAGAGAAGGCCCTCCCTTCAAATTCTGGGGAAAGGGAGGAGAGAGGACTGAGTAAAGTATGGAAGGATGGTATCTGAACGACTTCAGAGAAGTTAACTTGAGTCAGCCATTGAAGGATGAGAGGGTTCCAAGGCGGTCCACGTGTGGGAAAGGATTCTAGTCCAAGACATCATCATAGACAAAGATACTGAGACAGAAAATAGATAAGGAGTAGACCAAGAGGTCTTTCAGGATTTCAGAACCTGGGCTGGAAAGGTATAGAAGAAAAACATTGCGGCCAATGGCCATCAGACTCGCATGATAAAATATTTGTGTGGGATGCTACAGAACACCGACTTTATCTCACAGGTAATAAGGAGCCTATTGGGGTAGTACTTTCATTTTAGGAAGAAATCACTATTAGCAGAAGAGGCTGACTGGCTAGGAGCAACACAGAATCACGTAGGCCAGGTGGGAGGCTAAGACTGAAGGGGTAGAGCAGAGAGATCAAGCACCTTGAGTCAAAGCAGAGGGAGGAAGAGGGAGGAAGGGTCAAAGTGGAGCAAGACAGAGTTCCCTGGTCACAGAATGTCAAAGATAAGCCTTCTTCCAAATGAGTCACCCTGTGCTCCAAAAGGAGTATGTGGGATGACATGGTATAAAATACCTAGATAAAGCTGGGTTCAGGCCTGGGCTCTGCTCTTCACTAGTTAGGAAACTTTGGGCCATTTACTTAACCCTTCTAAGCCTCACATTGATCAGACATAAATCATCAAGTATGCTCCCATTCTTGTCAGGGATTTGTCAGGAGGAACAGACAGAAAACAGAAATCTCCAGCTTAGAGACTAACACTAAAAAATCTCAGAAATCAAAAAATAAGAAAAGATTCACAAATAAGAGATCTTAAAAAAATGTCCTTTGAAAATTCATATATGTAAAAAAAAAAAAAAAACTATTCATGGATTTCAAACATTTTTGCACCAAAATAAACTTTTCTTTTTAGAGGTTTTTTCCTTAGGGCGCATGTGCTTGCAGGGGTAGGAGGGAGAGAAAGTGAGGGAGAGAAGAGACAGTGAGAGGGAACGTAAAAAAATCCCACCCCCCGGCCCCAGTGTGGCTACACTGCAATTCCTTTTCCATCATTCTTCTCCTGGGCTCTTGATATGTATGCACACGTGCCTAGCATTATTTTCAAGCCACCAGGTCTGAGACTTGAACTGTGGTTGGCCATGTGAGAATCCAGTGACAACTGCTATGCCATCTGCTGGCCTCCAATTAAACTTTAATTCTATTTTCTATGAACCTTTTGAACTTCCCTCAAATAGGGTTACTTGCTTTGTGTTTCAAAACAAAGATATAAATATGTCCACATGAGGTCAACAATCTATTTCTGAGGCTGAGAAAGCACTTATTTAGCTCTTAAATTAACAGAGCTAAAGAAGTCATTTAGAAGGAGCTGTATCAAACGTTCAAGTATCAATTCAGTTCAATTACGTGTACTGAACACCCTGTGGTAGAGATGTTTGGCTCATACTAGAAATCCTGAGTGGTGTGCAATCAACTTCCACTTATCAGCTCTATAGATTATCTAATGATGCCTGGATGGTTTCTATGGCATCAATATCACAGAACGTTCTCTGACCTTAGTTTCCTATTGTCTGTATAGAGCAGAAGTGTGGCTCAAAGGATGACTCCCTTGAAACACACACACATGTATGTGCGTGTGCATGTGCACACACACACACACATACACAGTCTTCCAAGCTTTCTAGTTACCACACACCCTAACTCCAATCACTCTACCTTCCAAGTTTCCTTTGAATGACCAGCAGCTTATTCCTGCCTCTTTTTCCTTTTAGTGATGTTCACTTTGTCAGGAATAACTTTTATTCTCCTTGAAAACACCAATCCAAAGCCCATCCCTCTTTTAATGTCTACCAAAAAACATACCTCCTCCATGAAGTCTTTTCTGTGAAACAGGACAATTGGTTTGATTTTTCTCTTGTGCTTCACTTCTACATTTTAATGAACATATTGGGTTCCCAATGTGAGGTCTGGCTTTTTATTTTTATGCCAACCATCACAGAACCTTCCTTGTTTCCGTAGATGGACAGAACATCCACAGCCTGTGATTCCCAGTGCCTGAACCTGCATGCTGTTCTCTGCCTGTTAATTGGTTAAAATATCTTTCTTAATTTCTACAGTTATTTAAAATAAGTCATGGATAAGAAAGGAAATCTCTCCTTCCCTCTGGCAAGTGCATGTACCCTCTTGCAATTTAAGGTTAAGTATTTTGCAGAATACTGTCCACTAATTAAGTCTCTTTCTAAAAAAATTATTTCATTTTATTTATCATCATTATTATTATTTTTAAATTTGTTACAGGGAGTGTATGCTCATCAGAGAGAGACAAAGAGACAAAGAGAGAAAGTAAGAGAGAGAGAGAAAGAGAGAGAAAGGGAAAGCAAGCCACCAGGTCTGGGACTTAAAACCACGGTTGGCCATGTGGGAGTCCACTGCCTGAAAAACCATGCTACCTGCTGGCCCCTAAGTTAAGTATCTTTTTTTTTTTTAATTTATTTATTAAAACTGTTGCTGTTGCTTTCATTCTAATCATTTAGTCTAATTTATTGGACAGAAAGAATATATTGATTTGTTCCAAATTAGTACCTGAACATAAATATGAAGTAGAAAACTAAAAAAACATATCCACCACTCTTTCTACTCTTTTTTAGAGGTGGGGGCAGGTCAGGTAAGAAGGTGGTACTGAGATGATCCAGGTGAGGAAAGACTGGGAAAAAACATACTTTCTGAAGTCTTGACTAGTTTGAAGAAGCTGATTCTCTACCTTAGGAAACTATGTTGCTCTCCATTCACTTTGTTGGTATGGACCCAGCAAGCTGACTGTTGAGTAAATACTAAAAAATAATTGGGTGTGGTTCCTGTCAGTTTTCTTTACAATGTTTTGGACACCTGGAATAACACTGAAACACCATACGTTCTCAAACTGCAAAACTGGCTCTTAGTGAATCTGTGCATTATTTTCATGCAGTGAATCTGTCAAGAAATTGTCTTAAAGACACTGAGTCAAAGGTACATAGAGTTTCTAATTTAAAATATTAAGCAAAATCATCAGAGTACTTTCCCCTTTCAGGAAAACAAAAGGTGTTCAAACATGGCTTGACACCAGGCTCTAAGCCAGCAGGTAACCATGGTCCTTTAAAGCCATCTCTGGTGTGACAATGATCCCATCAGTCGTCTGTTCCAGGAAACTTACAGTAAAACACACAGATGACATAACACATCTGGCAGGGGTGCACTGTGTTGTGCACTTCACTGTTCAGCAAGCACTACCTGTTATTTGCTTTTTAGTCTCCAAGTCTCTGGTTTGCTTCAGCACCTGGAGCAGCCGAGGCACTCCATTTAGTTCTGCCACCTCCAACTTGTTGTCATTGTCTTCAAACACCAGATTTCTCAAGGCCCCACACACAGCTCGCTGAACGTCTTCATTCTGAACTTTCAGGAGCTGCAGAAGCTTGGGGATGCCATGGAGCTGATTAACCTGAGGAAGAAGCAGAAGCATATTTCCAATATTTGTTCATTTTGATGTGGCGTTAAGACAGGCAATGTCATGTGAGCAGGTGAGGTTCAGGGATGTTGACTAACCCTTCTCAGCCAACAGCTGCACTTGGCATCACCTGGGTCCCCTGTACAATATACCCCTGCTGTGAGGCAGTGCCTGTCACCAAGCCACTAACAAGAAATTTGGGAAGTTACGACTGAACCTATGAAACAATTGAAGTTGAAAGTTGAGTGGTAAAGTTTAAGTAGGTAGAAAGAGTTAAGGGATAAAAGCCTGAAGTATAGTAACAATGAAGAGAACTGAGAATTTGGGGGAGTTAGGAAAGCTTTATGGAAGAGGGGTGCCAAATGGGTGCTTGTGCCCCTGACTACCTGTGAGGCTGTGGGGAAGATCACAGCATGGCAACAGCCTGTCAAGAGTTCGTTCGCCCATTTTCCCTTTCTCGTGAAATAAATACTTAAAAAAAATTAAAAGGACATAAATGGTTTTTTTCTACCACAAAACTTGATAATCATTATAAAATGAAAGAAATCACCTTCCTCAATGGTAGAAATAAAAACAGGGCCAGCAGGTAGCATGGGGGTTAAGGCACTGGATTCCCGCAAGACTGACCATGGTTTGAGTCCTGGACTTGGTGGCTTGCTTTCTCACTTTCCCTTTCTCGCTCTTGGGTTAAATTATTAATAATAATAAACATAAATAATTCCTTAAAAAATAAATAAAACCTCATTTACCATGGCAATCTTAGCAGCCATACAAACTAGCCCTAAATGCATAGCTTGGTGTTTAAGGAAGCCAGATGCCACATGGCTGACTGCATAGCTCTAGTCCCAGATCTGAAGGCTTATGAAATAAGCTGGGCACGTGTGTGTGTGTGTGTGTGTCCAAAATCCCAAAAGGAGAGAAGAGGAGACAGGATAGCAGTGTGACCATTCCCTATAGGAAGTGCTTTCTCTTTTCCCTCTGTTTCTCTCTGATGAATGCATGTAGCCTTTAGCAAAATAAAAACAATGAAGTGAATTACATAAATTTTTCTTTCTTTTTGCTGGAAGGTGTATACACTCACCCCAGAAATAAGGAGAGGGAGAAAACACCACCCTGTGGGGGCATGGTCACATCACAATCCCTTCTACTCCATTTCTCCAACCTGTGAGGATTTGGAGCATCCATGTGCATAGCCAGAGTATTTTGCAAGCTGCTAGGGATGACATTTAAACTGTGATCGGCCATTGGGATCTGGCTCCCTTAACCACTAGATTTCAGGGCCAGCTCTTTGAGCATTTTTTAAAAAGAGAGAGGGTCTCACTATATTGCTCAGGCCAGCCTCAAACTCTCAATCTTCCTGCCTCTGCCTTCCAGGTAGTTGGGATTATAAGTGTACTGCCATGCTGGTTTACAAAAGCATTTAAATTTAAGTAAATGACAAAATTTACACTTTTTAATGATCTATTTTAAAAATATTTCTTCCATCCAAAGATACAACAAAGAACATGCTGCTTATTAGAGAAAGGGTCAGAACCAGGAATGGGGAAAAAAATGGATTTTTTTGCATTTTGAAAGCAAGAAGAGGCCAAATAATGCCAATGTGAGCAAGGCAAATCTCTGTTTTATGTTGAAAATATCAAAAGAAATGAAGAAAAAGAAGGCTGGCAGATGGCATGGTGATTAAGGTGCTGGATTTCCCCAAGGTCGACTATGGTTTGAATCCTGGACCTGGCTGCTTGCTTCCTCACTTTCTCTTTCTCTCTGTCTGGTCAAATTGAAGAAATAATAATAACGAATGGAATTAAAGAAATAAATAATTTTTTTTTTAAAAAAGAAAGAAGCAAACAAGGAGGCAGACACAAGGTTGGTGAAATAAAATGTTGTTTACTGAGGGCTTTCTTTTTCACTGGCTTCCATTCACATCTGATTTAGAGATTTTGAAGTTGGCAAGAGCTTTTGGTAAACATCTCAGCCATTTCTACCTCCTTAATGTAGAAATATTGTGGAAATAGCTGTTTATAAATGGGCATGAGCTTCCCTTTCAGATAAGGTTTGTCATTTATAAAGGATGCTCTAGTTGCCAGGAGTTTATACTCAGGTGAAAACTGCACACTTGGGACCAGCAGTTAGCGTAATGGCTATGTCGCTGGACTCCCATGTAGTCGACTGCGGTTCGCGTCCTGGACCCGGTGGCTTAAAACTCAATGCCGGGCGGTGTCTGTGCGTGCCCAAGATCCCGAGAGGAGATTGGAGGAAAAGGGTTTGCTGTGTGGCCATGCCCCCTGGGGGGTGATTTCTTGCTTTCTATCTCTCTGTCTCTCTTTCTCTGTCTGGCGAGCGCACGCGCCCTATAGCAAAAACCTCTCCAACCCCCTTCCCCCCCCAAAAAAAAAAACCTGCACACCTGGCCTAGGGACACATCTGGGTATTTTCTATACATCAAGCTCTAGACTCCCTTTCTAGACTTCATAGACAGATAAGTGACATTTAGGGCACAGTCTTTTAATCTTGTATCTTCTTCTGTTAGGGCTGGGGGCAAGACTAGTAAGACAGGGGAGAAGACTAGTAAAACAGGAATAAAAGTCAGGGTTGCAAAATAATTTAAACAGCAAAAATAATAGCTTCAACAACAATAAGGCAAAAATAACACTTTTTTTAACTTTTTTAAAAGAATTATTTAATTTTATTATTATTATTTAATTTGTAATAGGGCACATGCACTCACCAGAAAGACACAGAGACGAACAGTGAGAAAGCAATTCACCAGATCCAGGGACTTGAACTGTATGTAGACAGCTACGTGGGCGTCCAGTGCCTCAACTACCACCCCACCTCATACTTCTATTATTAAGAGGTGTTAGCACTGGGCTGGCCTTATAGCTCACTGTGCAAAGGAAGCCAGAGCCCATGTGGCCAACCACAGTTCAAGTCATACCCCAGCAGCAACATGCTGGGGCTCACATGTGCCCAGAATGCTGACGGGATGAAGAAATGGAGGAAAGGGAATTGCTGTGTGACCAGGCCCCACTGGGGGGGAGGGCGAAGGGTTCTCTCTCTCTCTGACACACGCATGTGTCCTCTCGCATTACATTATAAAGTGTGGGGGGGGCATTAGGTGGTGTGGTGGTTTGGGCGCTGGATCCCACATGGCCAACTGTGGTTTTAGTCTCAGACCCAGGAGCTTCAAAATCACCGGAGGAAAAGGAATTATGGCATGGCCATCCCTTCTATTGAGTGATTTCTCACTTTCTTTTTCTCTGTCTCTGTCTCTTTCTCTCTGGTGAGCACATGCGCCCTATGGCAAAAACCTAGAAAAAAAGAAAAGAAGAAAGAAAGAAAAAAGGGATATTATCATATTATGAATTCTTTTCTTTTTCTTTTTTTTTTTTGCCAGAGAGCACATGCACTCACCAGAGAGAGACAGAGAGAAACAGAGGTTAAGTGAGGAAGCACACCCCCCTGGAGGATGGTAAAGCCACAATCCCTTCTCCATTTCATCCTTCTTTTGGGATTTTAGACATGTACGCCTATGTGGTCAGCAAGTTTCCCAAGCCATTGGGTCTGGGACTCAAACTATGTAGTTGGCCATGTTGAAGGCTCTGCTTTAACCACCATACCTCTGGCTGGCCTGGTGTTACAAGTTTTAACTTTATTATATAATACCTTGCAAGAACCTTAAGAGGAAAGTACTGTTGCTATGCCTAGGGCTCACTGGTAGTAAAAAGCAGTAATACTTCTACTTCCTAGCTCTCTTCTAGAGAGACATTTACAGAACAGGAGACAGACGGGAGAACAACCACAGCAATTTGGTGGAGCTATGTCTAAAGTCACTCTAATATACTTGCATGGCAGTGCCAAAGATAAAGGTTTTGAGTTGTCTATGAAATCGGTCCAAGACATCATCTATTTAATTACTTCATCTATTCCCATGATTTCATTCTCTTTAAAGTCAAAAAGCACATGGTATTTTAAAACAAGCAGCCATTCACATGTTTCCTAATTCCTTCAATTTATATTTCATAGTTAGACGTTCAGATGGTTAAATACATGAATGCCTGCTAGACATTCTTTATATTAGCAAGATTCACATTAGATGCAAAAAGATAATCCTCTTTGGCTTGAGGTGCTTTGGTAGCTTTAGACGTACTTGATTACTTAATTTTTAATTTGTAAGTTGCCTTCTTCAAAATATGATGTGCAATTGTTTACTGGCCATATTGCATTTCAAGCTGTGAGGATAGGATTAGTGGGAACGCCTTCTCTGCACTTCCTCCCCCCCAGTCCCTGCGACCAGCTTCCTTACCCTGTCACCTCCCTCCCCTTGGTTTCCAGCACTTGTCCCAGCCTGGAAACAGGGCTGCGAACACACTGGTGCTTGGATAAAGCCTGAAATCCAGCTACCGCTCTAGCTCTACATACTGTTGTTATTTGACTCCTTAGTGTCTGGCACTTATCCCAAGTTTAAAAATAGACTTCAGTTACTTGTATCTATTTTATCAAGCAAATGATATAAACCATACTAAATGCAGAACACTGACTCCTTGGTATTTAAGTGAAGGATAGTGGACAATGAATGCTATGCACACTAGGATGAATATCAACTGTGCTGCTCTAGCCCTTGAAATTCCGGGAAGCGGCTGGGACCAGAGAGGTTTGATGACTTTCATTTGAGATGGTTTCTAAAAATCTCAAAGGGCAGAATCATATATTAGAATTTTAACTTTCTTTTTGGCTTTATTCTGATTTGCTTATCTTATAGCTATAAAATAAATGAATGATTAGGATTTCTGGTTAGAAACAAGCATATGTAACAACCTAACCCTGCTGAGGCAAAGGTTCTCCTGTGCTGCATGCCTTTGTTCTCACTGCCTTCTCCTTCTGGCATGTTCGGCCCTCTCTGCCTGTCTTTTGGCAAAGTGCTACTCACTGCATGATCCAGCTCAGATGTCACCTCCTCTAGGAAATGTCACTCCTTTTTCTCTCCTTTCCCTCCC